GGGGGGGGGGGGGGAGTCCCCTGGGGTTCCATGGAAGACAGAGGGAATTGGGAGGGAGGCAGTGGTAAAGGTAAGTCAGTCTCGGCCCAGCCCGCTCCTCCCGGCCCCCATCCCCACCACCACGGGTACTTACACACCCGAGAGGAGGCTCAGGCTCCTGTCACTCACCCTGGCCGCCCGGGAGGAGTAGGGATCTTCGAAGAGCGCCCACATGCGGGGCTGCCAGCCACGGCAGCCCCCCGACCCCGCGCCGGGGCCTGCACCTCCCTCATGGGGCCCCAGGCGCTGCAGGGCCAGCTCCCGCTCATCATCGCCGGCCTCGTCGCCGGTCCCTGCGCCACCGCCGCCTCCGTCCGGGCTCTCGAAGATATCGAGCGCCTCTTCGGCATCGCGGTGCTGCCGGTAGGTCATCCAGCAGCAGGGCTCCACGTCGGTCTCGTCGATGCCCCAGAAAGTGAGCTCCTCCTCGAAGAGCGGCCCACACACGTCGGCGGGGCAGTGCAGCTTGCCGGTGCGGTAGTAGTTGAGCACGTAAGCAAAGACGCCCGGGTGCCGGTCGAAGAAGAACTCGCAGCTCCCGCCGCCGCTGCTGCCGCTGCTGCCTGCACCGCCGCCATCGGACTCGGGCCGGCCCCCGCCGTCGGGATCCGCCAGCCAGGCGAGGCGGGTGCCCGGTAGGGTGCGCAGGGTGCTGCGGTAGGTCTCATGTCGCGTGCCGCCCACGTTGATGATGATCTTCTCCGACGCCTCGCCCTTGGCCATCTCCTCCTTCAGACATGTTTTGGACGGAGGCTTGTTCCCCGACTTGCGCCCACGGTAGGAGGAGACACACACCGAGCTGATCATAAGAAGTGCTGCGGGGCTTCGGCTTGGGGCGGCCGCTGCCCTCCAAACACCCTTCCCAAGGAGGCAGCGTCAGACGGGGGAGGGGGAGGAGAAGAGGAGGAGGCAGGAGGCGGCGGCGGCCCCCTCTGCGGCTTGGCCCTGCCCCTGCCTCCCCCCGGGGCGCGGAGCAGGAGGAGTTGGGTTTCTCCGGTGCACAGGTGGTTGGGGTTTGGGCAGGCAGCTCCGGCGAGGGAGGCAGGAGGGAAAAGGCGAGCCGAGGACCCAAGCGAGGGGCCCGGGGAAGCAGGAACAAGCCCTCACGCTCCCCGGCTAGGACTGGACACGCAGATGCTCGGGCCCCCGGACACGCCCCCCCCTTTCACCCTCAAAAGGCGAGTTAGCGCACAGTCTAGGCTCACTGCGAAGGTCTGGGGCGCGCGCGCGCTCACACTCACTCACAGGGGCACCCTCCGGCTCCCGAGTCCCGGGAGCGGCC